AGCCACAGCTTCTCTGGGCACCCTGTGCCAGCGCCTCAGCACCCTCCCAGGGAAGAGCTTCTGCCTCAGAGCTCATCTCAGTCTCCCCTCTGGCAGGTTCAAGCCATTCCCCTTGTCCTGTCCCTCCATCCCTTGTCCAAAGTCCCTCTCCAGGTCTCCTGGAGCCCCTTTAGGCCCTGGTGCTGCTCTAAGGTCTCCCCTTCAGGAGCCTTCTCTTCTCCAGGCTGAACCAGCCCAGCTCCAGAGCAGAGCTGCTCCAGCCCTCACAGCATCTTGCCAAAGATTTACCTCATCCCGTATTCAGAGCTCACCTAAACACAACCATGTGCCCAGCTTCAGCAGAATTTATATCTAGAAGCACAACAACAACATTTTCTGGTGGGTATCTAAGATTAAAAAAGCATCATCTGCTTGAAGCATCATGAAGTCTGCCTGATTGTGCCTGGGTTATTGGTTTTAATCACTGTCCTTATTCCATTCGTTACACTGTAGTCACTCAGGAGCTATATAAAAACCACAGTCTGTGCTCGAGTGTGCCACAGTGCCAAAATCCTCCAATGAATTTTAACTTAAAGGGATGCAGAAAGCAAAACCTACCCAAATCTTTCCCTAAATAGACCTGCTTTGGGTCCATAACTCCCAAACATTTGTCCGGAGAATGAGAGCAGATACCCGGACAAATGCAAATGCGTAACAGGATGTTCCTCAGCTGTGCTTGAAGCTTCATTTCATTCCACCCAAATCTATATCATTTCAACACTGACTTCCTTAAAGGGGATGAAATGAATCATTCAGTGGCCTTAACGTCCCTAAATAGACCTGCTTTGGGTCCATAACTCCCAAACATTTGTCCGGAGAATGAGAGCAGATACCCGGACAAATGCAAATGCGTAACAGGATGTTCCTCAGCTGTGCTTGAAGCTTCATTTCATTCCACCCAAATCTATATCATTTCAACACTGACTTCCTTAAAGGGGATGAAATGAATCATTCAGTGGCCTTAACGTGTGACACACAGGCTGGTGCCAGTCACCGTGGCCAGCCCAATGGATTGGGATGGGATTTCTCCTGGTGCCTCCCAGCCTGCAGGACTCCAGGAAGAAATGCTAGGATTCAACTGGAAAGAACATTTGGGGTTGTTCTGCTTGGGTTTTTCTTTAGCAGATCATTTATAGTTACCTCAGTGCTTATACTTAGCATACCAGCTAAAAATGAGCATGATTTAGCTGAATGTTGTCATCTACAGGCCTGGTTCTTCATCTGACCGTTCTCACCCTGTCATTGCCAAGTCCTCCAGGAAACAATTCACCTTGCCCCAAATTAAACATCTTAAATAGCTTATTTGAATACTACCTAGAAATTCCCACTTCTCCCTGTTGACTGCAGAGTTCAAGTTATTCCCTGGACCAGGACAAAGTGGTGTCATAGAATGGTTTGTGTTGGAAAGGACCTTAAAGTCCAACCAACTGCCATGGGCAGGGATGACTCAAACTAGACCGTGTTGCCCAAGACTCCATCCAACCTGGTGTCTGTTGACTACAGATGGATGATCCCCATGTTGAGCCCCCCAGATCCACACCTTGAGGAACATAGAGGTGAAGGATACTCTGGGGAGACTCTTAGGAAGAGTTCTTGTTTCCTCCCACATGCAGGCTGGTAAAAAGATATAATCAACTCAATGTAAATAACATGGTTGTTCTTGAGGTTGCACCTTTATTCTACAGCTACAGTGACGGAAATAGTGAGCACATAATGTGAAGAACCATGAAAGCCCTGAAAACGGTCTTTCTGGGTGCAAGCAGTAACTGAGGGGATCTTTGGGGGATGCTCAACTGTGCAGCAACACTTCATTGGGTGCAAGGGCCACATTGAATATCTGCTTCAGGGACCCAATCCTTGAGGAAATACAGGATGAAGCAATGGATCAATATCCCCAACCACACACCACGGACAATGCTGGGACAGGAGAGGACATACCTGCTTGCTCTGCGCTGTGAGGTGAGCTGGTGTGGGGTTGTCAGACTGAGATGATCATCATGCTTTTGTTCTTGTGGTCTCTAAACTTGTGAACCCGTCAGCGCCTGCTGGACAAGACCATGAGTGAGTACTCCTCGTAAGAAGGGTCAACAAGGGATACAGTCACAGATAGCCAAGAAGGTAAATCTTCAATGAGATTTGTCTTTCTTTTCTTTGACTTCTCATCTCTCTGCCCATCCCTTGTGGTGCCTGATGGCAAACACTAGAATCAACATACAAGGCCAGATGTTCGCCTACAAGGATGCTGGAGAGGGGCTCTTCATCAGGGACTGTAGCAACAGGACAAGAGGTGATGGCTTCAAACTGAAACAGGGGAAGTTTAGGTTAGATATAATGAAGAAGTTCTTCCCTGTGAAGGTGATGAGGCACTGGAATGGGTTGCCCAAGGAATCTGTGAATGCTCCATCCCTGGCAATATTCAAGGCCAGGTTGGACAGAATCTTGGGCAACTTGGTCTAGTGTGAGGTGTCCCTGCCAATTTCAGGGAGGTTGGAACTAGGTGATCTTAAGGTCCTTTCCAACCCAAACCATTCCATGATTCTACAAGAAATTCATCAAGCCTTCTGAGATGCAGCCAGACCAGGGGCAACTGACAGAGGGTCTTCCGAACCTGGCTGGAGCATAGGGGAAGTTGCAAGGAAACAGCAGGACACAGCTCATCTTGCGGTCTTCCTATGGAAGAGTTTATCACTTCCATTGGCTATGGAAGAACTTAAGTAATTCAATGTCAGGCAACGTCAGGTGAGATGAATTCCAGCTTCTGTGCCTGTACTCGAGTGTGCAAACACACACTAGCACCGAATGACTGCTGCTTTCAGTAATGTGCCTAAAGCTAGAGGTCCTCACACACACACACTTGTAATTCAGGTTTGTAGGTGCACATCCAACCCTTCAATGTTTGCTTATGTAAAAGAAAACTCAATAAGTCAATGCTTTTACTGGTAGGACTCATGACAATGAATCTAACCAAACTGTGTTGGCCTGTAGCAGATGGTGACTCTACATACATTTGTCTTCAGCCTCTATCTCCAGTTTCTCCATATGAAATTCAAATTAGAGAGTCCTAATGTATGAGAAGTTTAATGTGACACTGAGATTTCACATTCATAGAGGTCAGGGAATGCAGGGAAGTGTTCAAGGCCAGGTTGGATGGGGCTTGGAGCAACCTGGTCTAGTGGAAGATGTCCCTGCCTTTGACAGGGGGTTGGAACTGGATGAGCTTTAGGGTCCTTTCCAAACCTTTCCATGATTCTATGGTAAAATAGCACAACCGAAACCATCACAGCAGCTCTTCTCAATACAAAATTTACTCTGCTTTTCTCTTTTGTGTGTGTAGCTGGGTTTTGGGAGAGAGCAACAGCAACACCATGGAAGCCCTTCTCTTAGCCCATGACCCAAGCCCCTGCGCTGCAACTATGAAACAGCCACTGTGATCCATGTCTCCATGTCTTCTTTTACCATGGAAAAACCACAGTTCAGTCACCAGCTTCATCCTCCTGGGGCTCACCACTGACCCAAAGCTGCAGCTTCTCTCGTTCATGGTGTTCACCCTAGCCTACATCACCACCCTCATGAGCAACATCACCCTGATGGTGCTGATATGCCATAGCTTACAGCTCCATACCCCAATGTACTTCTTCACTGGGAACTTGTCCTGCCTGGACCTCTGGTATTCCTCTGTCTACACCCCAAGACCCTTCTGAACTGCATGTCCGAGGACAAGAGCATCTCCTTTGCTGGGTGTGCCTGCACCAAGTGCTGCCTTCTGGCAGTGATGGCCTATGACAGGTATGTGGCCATCTCCAGCCCACTGCTCCTCACTGCTGCCATGTCCAAGAGGCTCTGCACAGGGCTGGAGACCACCTCCTACCTGAGCAGTTTTGCCAGCTCAACCCTCATTACCAGCCACACATTCACCCTCAACTTTTGTGACTCCAATGCCCAGGCTCCAGGCTCTCACCATACAGTCACAGCTATTTCCATCACAAGTGATGCTGCTCCCTTCCCACAGCAAGAAGTGGTCCTTGGGGACCAACCAGCCTTCCAGGAGCCATCAGCTTTAACAAGACCTTCTGGGGTTTAGCAACAAAGTTTCCTAATCAACATGAAAGCTTCTCAGCTAACTTGTAGGTGACTTACCTCATTCTTCATAACAAGCCATCAGAGATTAATTAGCAGGGACTAAACAAGAAAGAAACTTTCTTCTTTGTTAACAACAAAGTGCACTTCTACAGCTGCCTCGCTTGACAAAGGTGGTCCATGCCCCAGGCCAATGAGTTGGAGGGTCAGTGTGTTGGCATGTTTCTGTATTAAGGACAATTGTATGGGCCTGGATCATAGAACCCCAGACTGGTTTGTGTTGGGAAGGACCTTAAAGTCCCTCCAAGTCCCAACCCCTGCCATGGGCAGGGACGCCTTCCACTAGAGCAGGTTGCTCCAAGCCCCTGTGTCCAACCTGGCCTTGAACACTGCCAGGGATGGGGCAGCCACAGCTTCTCTGAGCACCCTGTGCCAGCGCCTCAGCACCCTCACAGGGAAGAGCTTCTGCCTCAGAGCTCATCTCAGTCTCCCCTCTGGCAGGTTCAAGCCATTCCCCTTGGCCTGTCCCTACAGGCCCTTGTCCAAAGCCCCTCCCCAGGTTTCCTGAGCCCCTTTAGGCACAGCCACGTTTATGGAGGAAAGTTTCTCTTTTCTTGCTCTAAAAGAACAAACCAACAGTAGTATCTTCTAGGGAATTATTTCCTATCCATCCATGGAGAATATAAACCCTTCTTCAGGAAGTTAATACCTGGTATTAGCAACCTTTATATCAAAGGGAAAGCACAGCTCTGACACTGCCTACATCCATCCTGCTTGTGTGTTCTGTTCAGAAAGGGTTTTGTGGATGCTGAGCATTGAGGTTCTGCATCATTAGAAGTTACTGATCAAGGCCAGGTTGGACACAGGGGCTTGGAGCAACCTGCTCTAGTGGAAGGTGTCCCTGCCCAGGGCAAGGGGTGGAACTGGATGAGCTTCAACCCAAACCAGGCTGTGGTTCAATGAAAAGCAGTTTTCACTTTCTCACTTTTGAGCAGGGTTTCTGAAGGACCCCAAACCATCAGCATGGTGAGCTGATGTTTCCCCTTACACTTAAGCTGACTCTTCAGGCTTTGCCCTGTGTCTGCTCTGAACACAATCCATATCATGTGAGCCCATCACCCTCTGCTGCCAAGCAGCAAGTGGAGAGAACCATCCACTTTTTCCAGAGAAAAACCCTGTTGTGGAGGTTTAAAATAGATTAAAGCTGAATCAAAGCCCCCAGATGCATCGTTGTCTCCATAAGGGGAACCTTCAGTGACTAATTCAGATGTGCAAGCCTACAATTAGATAGGATGACTCCTTGGACTGATGTGACTCAACCCCCAAAACCTGGAATGAGAAATCATGAGTAAACTGCAGCTGGGATGGAAAATAAGTTTTGCCTGGATGGAGAGACATAAGGAGGGGAGGAGGCGGTGGTGGAGGAGTTCTGGGCAATATTGAGAGTTTCAGAGCCATCAAATGAGTTGGGCAGGTCTGGATACAACAGATGGCCAGAAGCATGGAGCATCTGTGCCATCAGCACCATATGACATCCAAGGAAAAGCCAAGACTACTCAGACAGTGTCTTGAAAGGCTGTTCCTCGACCAAACTGGGTGGCTGCTTGTCACAGGGGATGAAACCACTTTGCTCCTAGGTCAGCACAGTGGTAGCTTTCCATGGGGCAGAGCCAACCAGGAAAGCAAGATGGCCAGCTACATCCTATGGAGGAAATCAGTACATTTCTTATGAGGAAATAAGTATATGGGCATATGAAGCTGAAAGTTGGTCTTGGTAAGGTTCCCCACCACCAGTGTGATGGAGATGAGGAAAACAGTCACAAAGAGCAGCTCCTACAGGTTGGTGAAGCCCAAAAGGACAAACATGGTCACACTCAAGTGATTTCCTCCAGCCACTCTCCTGGCAGCAGCACAGAGGAGACAAACATGGAGAGAAGGTTAAATCACTTCTCCCAGCTCACAGGAACATGCAGTGCATGAGGCTAATGTAGGATTTGGGGTTTCCTTTATGCATGCACCCAATTACTTGGAGATATACATCTAATGGTTGAAGGTCCAAAATAACATATTGAAAAATAATATCTTGATAAAATAATAGCCAATAGTTCCTAGATGGGGAAAAAAAGTAATCCTAAAGCTCTCCTGGCCCATTGTGCAAAGAATTGGTCTTGCAAAAGATGTCCTCTCATGAGCATCCAAGTTCTTTCCAAGATGTGGGCATGTTTCAGAGGATTTCTTGCCCTTTTTTCTTTTTTTTTTTTTTGGGGGGGGGTGGTGTTGTTCTTATTTAAGGACAAATAAATACAATAATATCATGCCTTAATTAGCCTTAACATGAATTAGTGTTGCATTAAATAGGCAAGAGAGCACATTGGAGTGATTTTCTGACTCTGTAGTGGTATGTTTGGGTCAATTAAAGAGACCAATATTCCTGGTTTCAATTCCATGTACATGTAGCTTCAAGGGGAAAAAACACCCATCTGAATTATACTTGCATATATTTCTTCCTCTGTTCTTACTTGTGTCTAAAAAACATGCACATATATATATAAAGATGACTGCTGCTCATGTTATCCTTAAATATGCATTGACCTTAAAATGATGAGATGACCTTAAAATATGCATATTGCCTGTTGAGAAATGGGTATTACAACTTCTTCCCTTGCCCCTTCCCTCTTTCCATCAGCCCCTTTTCGAGCAAGATGACCATTTCTTCAGGACAGTTCATCTTCTCCCTCCACCCTTCTCAAAGCAGCTTTCACTTCCCCATTCCCCAGCCTGCGGTCAGATGTTCATTGCAGAAAGTCCCTTCACCCGCTGCCAACGCTCTTCTGAGGGTGCTGGTGGGTGCCTCTGCTGCAAGAACACTGTGTCCCTCTCTGCTAAGCTGTCCCCCAGCCTGTCTTGGTGCCTAGAACAACTCTTCCCCATGGACAGCACTCAGCATGTTCCTTTTCTGAAGTTGTGTGATTCCATCTGCCCATTTTGGACCAAAATTTGCCTTTGAAAAGCCATTTTGCATCATATGCCTCCAAATTTATATATCCTCAGGGTGGCTCTTTGGTGCTTGCAAAAGGAGGAAACGAAACCAAGAGCGGGACTTGTTCCTTGTAGAAAAGAGCAGTTGACTGCAGACAGGGTTATGCTCAAGTGCTTTAACACCTTTAAATGGGTTCAGAAGATCCAGCTGAAGTTGTCTATGCCCCACCTCAGGCAGGGGGAAGAAGGCAACTGCTGTTTCCCATTACTAATGTCTCACATACTCAATGGCCATCTCCTCATCCCCATTCATTTCTTTCTTCACCTTGGGTGGTATTTGTATAACTAAGTGTAGACATCTCAGACACACACCTTGCATCTAACAACACCCAAACCAGCCATTCTCAATACCACTGCTCATCTAAACAGTGTAAAACATAGAAACATAGAATGGTTTGGGTTGGAAAAGACCTTAAGATCATCCAGCTCCAACCCCTGCCACGGGCAGGGACACCTTCCACTAGAGCAGGTTGCTCCAAGCCCCTGTGTCCAACCTGGCCTTGAACACTGCCAGGGATGAGGCAGCCACAGCTTCTCTGGGCACCCTGGGCCAGCGCCTCAGCACCCTCCCAGGGAAGAGCTTCTGCCTCAGAGCTCATCTCAGTCCACCCTCATATCTTTCCAAGCCATGAACAGTGGCAAAGACAGACACAGAGATGAACTCACCAGTGTTTGAAGAGGGCCTCCTTGCTTCTTCCACCAGGACCTGAGGAGGGTTCTTTGCTTCAGAGTAGCAATGGTGTCTAAAAGAAGCCATTGTAATATCTCCAATTCTTTCAAAAACAAGAGACAAATACACCTTGGCCATCAATTTTAAAGGGAGTAGGACAAAACTAAGACTCTCCCTTTCATGTCTGCACTAAGGGAAACCAAGGTAGCTCAGTTTCCAGCTAGCCTGGAGAGAAGGTGGTACTCCATGTTCCTGTTTTTTCCCATACATCTACATATGACACAATAGAAAGGAGTCACCACCCCAGTGCAGGACCTACACTTTTAAGGCCCAAGTCTTCAACTCCTTTTCAATCAAAGGGGGAAAAAAACACATTTCTCTTATTTCTGGGCCTCTCTTTACCCACTAGCTAAAGGAGACACAGCAGATACCTCCAAATACAACTTGTTTCACCCTCTTTTGGATACAGCTCATATTAAGATCCAAACCTGAGTGGCTGTCCTTATCTATTTATGAGCTAAGGTCCCATTACAGCTAATGAGAACCTGGCCAATGCAATCAACAGTTAATTCAGATCTCGTCAGCTGGAGTAATGGAGGTGTCTGCCTTGCAGTGAGATGCAGGAACCCCACCAAATCTCCCTCACCAATAAAGGGAAGGACCCAGTAAACACATAGAGGTGACAAGGTGCATTTAAATGTAAAAGAGATAAGTCCATGCCTAAAGACATTTGAGGTGATTCCTAAATCCAATCACTAAATACCCAAAGGAGATGACTCCTACCCCTGTGACATCAGCACTTGCTCAGCTGCCTTTAAACCAGATTTAACTAGATGAAGGCAGCTCCACCTGAAAGTGGAGAGCTAAAGCCATTAGTAGCTTATGAGCATGAATGCAAGAACCAGCCACCTCACTGCCTCATGACCCCCCAGAAGATGCATTGCAATGCTGGCTGCTGCTTCTGCTTCCTAGAACCCCACATGGTGTTTCCTCTGCTTTCATGGTCAGATGATAACCCCACTGAAGGCAGCGGCAACCGTTAGACACAGCAAACCACTGGTTTCCTTAAACACAGCCACCGATGAGCAAAAAGCTTCTGGCTTTGAGAGCAGCAGCTCCAACGTGGAGCCACAACAAGTAGAGATAGTGCTGTAGCCACAGACTTGAGTTTTTAAGACACTAAGTGCTCATGTTCCTGTTTAAACGCTGGGTGATAGTGAAGGAGAGACCAGCTGGACATAAAGTCATTGAATATTGTTGTATAAGGTTCCAGAAAGATTTATTGTGGCCTTTCA